AACAAACGCCCCCGCACACTTAGCCAGCTGCTCAAGGGCCACAGCACTGTTTCTGCCAGGCCTCGGAGAATTACGGGGAACAGGGGGAAAAAAGCAAAGTTGTGCTCATAGAGGTATCCTCTCTCGGCAATGAAGAGGAAATGCTCTGCGTCCCAGTGAGACAGGCCACCCAGCAGCCACTCCACTGCAGAGTCCAAGTACAGAGGCTCCTCTGTCCGTGGGGGTCTGAATGCATCAGCTTCATGGTCAGGGATGGCAGCATTCAAGACAGCCTGAGGAGCAATATTTCACATGATTAGGTTCAAATAAATCCTGTTATCATAGGCTGTGTTTTGCTGTACAGAGAAACGCAAGTGCACAGTCACTTTTGTATGTATTCCCCTGGGCGCAGTAGGTAGCACAGAGAAACCTATAACTGTCAAGGTGACTTAAGCATCAGGGGAAATCAAGATGAACAAATAAACGTCCCATCTAGAAAGCGGGGAAACTAGATTAGCATGTCAGATTTATATACATTGCCTAAAACCTACCTGCAGAAACAGTGAGAGGCCCCTGGTAACCGTGGCAAACTCCAGAACTGCTCTGGCATCCATGGTTATTGAGGTGATGGACAAGATCTGAAGAAGCCAGTTTTTACTGGCCCGAACATTGTCGCTGCTACGAAACCCTGACTGCTGGATTAATCATTTTTTCTTTAAACATAGGTGGCTGGAAAAGCACCGAGCAAGGCGCTTTGGTTTGAAAACCTTTAGAAACTGTTTACAATAATTGTATTAGCTAGTCGTTCCAGCATCGTTGATTGTCGCGCAGGTGTAACCTTTGTCCTCAAATCCTCATCCTGCAGTGGTCTGGCTCGTTTCGGATGGCAATTTTTATTTCCGGTCCACCCGCACAACTCCTTTCAAAATAAAAGCTTATGAAACCAGACGAGGCGAATCCTCGCGTAGTTTCTCTAACATGCACAACTAATGTAAATTTTTTAAACGGTATACTTTGTCGTAAACGGTTATGTGTGACGGTTTAGTCTATTTTTCTTAAGTTTTTTTTAACTTCCCATCTACTTTACTTACATTGTAACATTTTCTGTATAGATAGGTGGATTTGTCTCTCCAGCAGGCGGCGCTCCATACCATCTCATAGACCGGCTGCAGCTGGTTCAAGTAACTCCTCACTGAAAAATGTTAATCTTTTCAGTCTGTTAAATTTGACTAGCTCCAATTTTATTAGACCCAAATACACGTCTTTGTCAGCAATCCAGTGAATGCAAATATTTTGTAGAGCGTTTGTATATGTTCAATGAAAATGCATATGAAGTTGGTTCTAAATGGTTTATTTCTTTTTGGCCCCTGATGCAGGAGTAAGTCAAAGTGTTTTGATAAATAAGTTCATACAAAGCCTATGCACAGTCCTCCCCCTTCAAGCTCTGTTATGCAGCTTGTTCAACAACTTACTGATGGCTGCAATGCTTTTTTTTTTTTTTTTTTACATTTATGCATTTAATTTACTGAAACAGAAAGTGTAATAAAGAGAAGTAATGATTCTAGAATAATCAAACCATCAAACAGCTTAGAAGATTTAATGTACATTTATTCTTACCACGTGGAACATATAGTATAAAGATTTCATACTGAATAAATGATATTCATTGAGCCAAAAAAGGGAAAGGGAGGAATTTACATGTTGTCTTAGCTACATAGTCTGAAATACAAATATGCAGAATCCATGATTGGAGAAAAACTGTTGAATGTGTACTTAATCTAGTTTATTTTTGTGGTACCAGGAGATAACAGATTTAAGCTGTGTCTGCCATACTACTGAGGAGTGGGTCTAATCAGTAGGGACTGGAGGTCACAGACCAAACTCGTGTCAGCCTCCATCCCTCACCAATAGCAAATGTGAGAATAGTGACACAGACAGAGACAGACAAAGGAAGTGAAATGTACAACATTATATATATACACCACAGCAAAGCTGTATTTGA